CAGTCAGGGAGTTCAGTCTGAGAAGCAGAACTGGTTTATATAGTTCATTGTAGAGACTTGACCTTGTGCAGATGTGGGAGCTGGTGTGGCACTCTGTGGGAGGCTGTTTCTTCTGTGTCTGGTGCTACAGCCTGAAGTTAGCAGGGCAGGTAGTCTGAATGGGAAGACAGATAGGAGTGGAGGAGCAAGAACAAACAGGGACCCACGAGGATGGCCTAGAACCCATCAGGCTCACCACCAGCAGCGCCCACCTTCTATGATGGGGGTGTCCTGCAGGAGAAGCTGGCCCTTTGGTCACAGCTAAGCACACATCTGGCCCAAAAGCTGTAGAAGTTAACAAGGAGATCCAGTAGATTCACACAGCAAGATGAACCAGCAGCTCCAGGACAACATGCCTGAGCTAAAAGGTATCCTGCACCCTGTTCTGACTTTCCAAGGTAAAAAAGAACATGGCTGCTCCATTTCCACATTCCAAATCTCACACAAAACATCTCTTTTGGTCCTTGTTAATCCAGAACTGTGCAGGAAAAAGAATTCTGGGAAATGTAGTTCTAGCTTAGCTGCTGTCGTCGTTGTTCGGTGCCGTGGAATCAGTTCTGACTCATAGCAACCCTGTGCAGAACAGAACACCACGTTGCCTGGTCCTGCTCCACCCTCACAAAAGGTAACAGTGCAAATCTATTGCATCTTCCCTTAAGAAAAAAATGTGTTTTTCCCTGGTGCCTGTCACAAGGCCTGGCTTAGGCTCCAAGTTTCCCCGTAAAATACCATCTGTTTTACAGACTAAGAACACAGCTTTGGAATCAAGCAAACCTGGTTCCTATCCTGCTTGTCTTCCTTATTACCCATGTGACCTCAGGCTAAACATTTTCCTGAGCTTCAGGTTCCACCCTAACAGAGAGATAAGAATATCTGCCCCATAGAGTGGTTGATAGTGTCCATAGAGTCTCTAGCACAGAGATAGGACTCAATACACAATAACTCTGTCCCCCTCATTTCTATCTCAGCTAGTGGGTTTTAACATTGACTTCCTTTCAGTTCTTGCCAAAGGAGAACAGAAGAATTGATGCATTTGTATTATGGTGTTAGCAAAGAACATTAACTTCCAGAAGAATGGACAAATCAGTCTTAGAAGCCATATAACCAGAATGCTCCTTAGAAGCAAAGATGGTGAGACTTCAGCTCACTTACTTTGGACACATCTTCAGGAAATACCAATCACTAGAAAAGGAAACCATGTTTGGCAAAGTAGAGGGCCAATGAAAACGAGGGACATGCTCCATGAGCTGGATACACAATAGCCACAATAATGGATTCAAACATACCAGTGATCATGGAGATGGGGTGGGGCAGGGCAACTTCTTGTTCTGTTACACATAAGGTCACCATGTTGTTGTTGTTGTTGTTATGTGCCGTC